ATGGAAAAGAAAAGCCGCTATCTCACGCACCCATCAGGCTTCTTTGTGTGCAGAGTTAATGTTCCTTGGCCGGTGGATTTTACATTTTTCAGGCGATCGTCTTATTCGAAATGAGACGGGAAATAGAATTGGAAATGAAAAAAAAAATGTAATGTAGTTTTAATGGGATTTACTTTTGTTTTTAAATATACTTGATTTCAAAATCATTAAATATATTTTACTAACACACTGACGCACTTAAATTGCTGTTTTTCCAACGTTGTCAAATTTCAGCTCCAAAATATAAATTTTATTTCGATTTAAACTAATGTCAGCGAAGTCAATTTTTCCAAATTTAATCTGATCATGATTTAAGTTTTAATTTGCCACTCGATATCCATCAATACTTTTTTTAGCCACTTAAATTCTCTGCTAACTAAAAATCAGCAATCAACTAATTAATTTTTGAAATTCAATCAATCATCTAATATTGAAAATGCAAATGCTTGAGATTTATTTTAATTAACTTTTCATTTGAATATCCATCACGATTATTTTATAGAAATTAAGATTCGGGCTTTTCCTCGTTGCAAAAAATTGTTTTTATTCAAAAAACAAACGGCTCTACCAGTTTCGGTCACGGTCTGCGACCCTATTTCATGAGCAAGAAAAAATACAAAAAATCAGCAAAATTGAAAAAACCACATTTTAACATAAAAATTTTATAATTTAACATTACATGAACTGCGGTCAGACTTATTTTATTTTATTCTCATTGTTATGACATATCACTCAGAATTTACTGCCAAATACTTAAAAATTAAATATAAATTGCAAAAAAAGTTTAAAGTGATAAAAATGTGATGTATTAATATATCTGCAGTGATATCCAGATGTAAATGTTACTTAGTTTTTGATTAATTTTTATATATATTAAAATAATTGATAAAAACAATTATTATAATACATTATTAAGATTTTTCTGTTTTAAAAGAAAATTTAATTATTTTTTAAGTTAGTATTAATCATGGAAGTTTTGATTTGCCACACACGCAGCTCTCCATGTCAAACAGTTTACAAATAACGAAAATCTTTCGCACCTCGCGGCTCGTCCCCGTCAGTCAGTCACTCACTCGCACGCCGCGAAATTCTATTTAGCCGATGTTTCTTTTGACGCCTCCGCTGGCACACTTTTTGTTCCTTGTATACACTTTTTCACGTTTTTCTTCTTCCTCTCCGCTGAATGCGTTTTTTATGCTCTGGTAAAACCAATGTTGTTGCTTCTCGCAGGGGTTTTGCTCGAGGGAAAAGCTCTATGTGTTTCTGACACCGGAATGACGGTGGAAATACATAATATCGTGGAGGTGCAAAGCGAAAATAATATGTGCGCGGGGTATATGTCATTCTTTCTCGTGAACAACACATTAAAATACGGACGATTTTCGTGTATTCTGACTGACAGCTTCTTCCGGACGTGAAAAATATGAGAGGAATCCATGCACCCGCAATCAGCTGCGAAATTTAATATGAATTTTAATAAAAATCACCAAAAATGTAATTCACTGGAAGAACGTGAATTGAAAATAATAACAATTTGCAGCATTTCCTGTATAATAAAATTATTACCAACATAATTGAAAGAATTTAATTTTGGCAAAAGAATAGAGTTATTGATAGTTAATTTTAGAACAATTAGAAACTCTCTTTTTAGTCGTCAGTTGAAAAGTGAGATAAAAAAATTAAACACACTCTTTTGTTAAAGGTTCTCATAAAAATTTTTTTAAATAACATTTTTTTATTGGCTTCATTTTGATTTGAACATATAATTAATTTAATTACATGATACGCAAGTGATGGACGAGCAGTTATTTTGAAATATCTTTACTTCTATCAAAATCTGACATGAAATATTTATAAATTAGTTATTTAAGCTTAGAAATTTAATTTTATATTATTCATCCAGTTTTAAGAATAAGAATTGATACAACTACAACAAATGAAATTCTGGTTTTTATAATAAGAATATATATTATAATTAATATAAAAAAAATAGTAATTAAATCATTCAATAAAAATGTATAAATACATTGATTCAATATTATTTATATATTAAAGGTCTTGTTAATTAAAAAATCACTTTTACTATGACTTAAATTTGAATGCATATGAAATGAAAACTTTTAAACAAAATCTATTTGGCAACTTTTGCTTTTTGTTTGTTGATCGCGCGCGGGTGTGGTGACACAAGTATCAGTTTCACGCACACGGCATCCTATATATTATATTTTATTATGCATTCGTCCTTTCACTGCTGTCGGCTGGAAAACGCGCCGTAATTTACGTGTGATATTAATGCGCGCGGACGCGGGCATTAGTCTGACAATGAGCAGAGCTAGGTGCTTGAAAAATAAAATTGTATGGAGATACGCTGGCCGATCATCGTGGGCAGAGAGAGGGTTTGGTCCTCGAGCGCGTCAATCAAAACAAACTCGCTCGCCAGACGCGCGCATTATGTTTCGCTTTGATGTGTGTTTGAGAGAGATGCCTATTTTACGCGGCACGATAATTAGCTGACGTGCTAATCACTGGGCTCGGCCCTTCCTTTGTTGCTGCGCCAGTTGACGGTCGCGCTTCTGCGCCCTCAATTCATTGTGATCAGAAATTCGTTTGATATATTTTGGATTTATTAAGGTAAATTTTAAAGTAGTTCCGAAAATTTGTCTATTTTTAAATAAAGAGAATTAAATTATCAACATTAATAGAAACTGCAATTCCAGTCTTTTTAGGAATTAATTCGTTTTGTCAAAATGCAGACTTTTAATTTCACAAGCATTGCTGTTCTCTTTATTATTAGTCCGTAAAATATTATTTAAAAAGAAAATAAAATGTAAAATTCTAAATTAAAAAACATTTAATGTGTTGGTTATGAATAATATTATTATTTTGAATCATTTTGGCAGAGCACATATTGAAAATTTGGTGTGGTTAAGGTGATTCTTCTACGGGGTTTTGGCCAAAATTAGAAATTCATCAATGGAATCCAAATGATTCAGATTATAAGATTTGAACTATTGTGTTTTAATGTTTCGAGTATAAAAATGATTTATTTTTGCCCCATCGCTTCTTTACAAGGGGCAAAAGTAATGTCCGAAGGTTGAAAACGGGTAAAAATCCACGTTTTTCTACCTTCTCATACTCGTACCTTTCCATTTTGCAAAGTAAACTAATTTTCAAGATAGCTTTCGATTCGCAAGCTGTTCAAGTATCCAAAAAAAGCAAAAAAAATATAACTCTTCTGTCATTTTATCACCCTCAGAGTAATAGCATTTAGAAATGGGCCATTAAAATTAAAAAAAAATTTGATTTCTCAGGGGGTGATAAAATGACAGAAGAGATACTTTTTTGGATATACTTTAACATCTTGCGAATCGAAAGCTATCTAGAAAATTATAGTTTACTTTGCAAAATGGAAAGTTACGAGTATGAGAAGGTAGAAAAACGTGGATTTTTACCCGTTTTCGATCTTCGGACATTACTTTGGCGCCTTGTAAAGAAGCGATGGGGCGTAAATAAATCATTTTTATACTTGAAACATTATCACACAATAGTTCAATTCTTAATCTGAATCATTTGGAATCCATTGCAGCATTTCTAGTTTTTTGGCCAAAACCCCGTAGAAGAATAAACTTAAAAGCAATTAGTTAAAATATTAAAATTAGCATTGGAATTTTGTTGAGGATTTACGCTTAATGTGCACAAGGAAATCATTTTCTCCGTTTCTTTTCTTTCGTACATTTGTTACGTGCAGCATAAAATATTTCCCAGTCACATTTATATTATGCTTATCATTTTTAAGTTTTGAGGAATAAAAAAACGAATAAAACAACACCGGCTTTGGAACCTTTTAGACATGGATGAGGATTCGTTTTCGTGTTCCGATAAAATCAGTCGGCCCGGTGATGAGCATTTAGTTTTTGCCACCGCTGCATGTTAAGTGCCATGTTCAAACAAAAGCGCCGCTCTAAAAGCAGCTGTCCCGAAAGCAGAGCGTTATTAATAACTCTTTTGTCTCTCCAATCATTAATCATCCCTCTCTGTGGCCGGTTGAATTTTTATTGAGATCGAATTAAGACGTTCCCGGGGCTGATAACATCGCAAGCCAAACACTTGATCTTCTTTAATTCAGAATCAATTAATCAAATATTTTGTGTGCGTAAAACCTTTTCTGGAAGGAGAGAAAAAAAAACGATTTTTCATCCTGGACCACCGCGCGTGTTTGACGTGTGAGGATTTCATTTTTCCCCGCTGAAGCTTGGTGAGGAAAATCTATTGCTGTAGGGGGTGCTATTCATTTATTCGGGCTTACCTTGTTATTATCTCCGAGGTGGCAAAGCGAAGGTGTTGGCCCAATGAAATATTGCTTTTTCCTCGCCAGAATTCGCCGGCCGTGCGTGTGGGGGATAATTAAGAAAAAGCGGCGCACCGACCGGTGGCTCCATCCCTCCCCTGCTCTCGGGATTGCTGTTATTATTATACACACTGTTTTTATTTTATTATTTTTGTACCTGCCAAAACAATTTCATCCTGAGAAAAAAGCCTTAATGGCAATTCCTCTGCAGCAGGTGATGGACAGACGCGATAATCAATTTTTTTTTTGTTTGGCCAGACAGAATAAATAAATTGTAGAGAAATTGTTTGCCAACTGTCAGAATGAAATATTGACGGAATTGCCACGTGATCTCAACAAGCATAGGTCATTTGAAGGAATTCTTGAATAAATTTTTTTAAAACCAGGATAAACATTACTCATAATAAACTCAAAAATAAACAGAAACAAACGCATATATAAATGTAAATTATTTATTTTTATATTCCGAACACTTCCTGTTGAACTTCTTGATATTTTTTTTTGAATTATTTGAAGCAATTTATAGTTTCTTAATTATATTCATTGTTTTAATAATTTCATAATTGTCCTTTTTTATGATTCTTATTTAATTGTGTGCGTTATTTGATTGCAGAAAAGTTCGTGTTGGACTCTCGTCGCAAGTCTCAATCTCGGTCACCGGCCAGCGGCGAAGATGGCAGGGACAGTCCGGCCGAGATCAGTTCGTCCACCTCAGACACGCCGGACAAGTCGAGTAAAGCGGGTAGCGAACCGGCCAAGTCGCCGTCGCCGGTGGCCAAAGTGAACCCCCAGCTGCAGGAAAGGTGCAACTGCGAGGAGCTGCAGCACGTCATTTGCCACCTGGAAACGAAGGAGCTGTGGGACAAATTCCACGACCTGGGCACCGAGATGATCATAACCAAGACTGGAAGGTAAAAATTGAGTTTTTTATCTTTTTCAAACACAATTAAGTGTGTGTGTTGTTTTAAATTTTTCTTTTTATCAAATGTTTAATGTATTTATTTATATTATATTTTAACTTTATTTAATTTAATTTTATACAGTTGCAATTTATCATTGTTATTACTTATAAACTTGACATTTGAAACTTTTTACTTCCAAATAATTAAGAAACCTTATTAAAATATTATTATTTTAAATATAAAATTATATTTTTTAAACATTGTAATTTTAAAAGGATATTAATATTTTTAATTTAATTTTTATTGTATTTTTATCAATCTAGTTTTTATATATTTTTCGTTATCAAATGGAGTCATTATCATTTTTGTTACCAAGTTTAAATTGATTTGGAGATTAGTTGTCCCAAAATTGCATAATAATTATCAAACCCTGCTCATCAGCTCTGTAATGTTGGCCAAAAAAAAGATGTCTACCTCCCAGAGCCATAAGGCCCCATGGCTCTGACGGCAGCAGTGTACCAACATAATTTCGGGACGAGCAGGGTTTGATAATTATTATAATTGAATGTTCTTTCGCGATGTGGGAGGCAATGTCAATTTATCATATGTGTCGAAGACAATAAAATTAAAATCCTCGGGTCACGCAGACCAATCGGCCAAAATGCACAATCGTCGCTGGGGGCTCGCGCAACTCCCAGGGGCCACAGGTGCGCACGTCGACGGATGGATGCGAACAATAATCGTGATTAGACCGAATGTGCGGCGGCAAGAAGCAATTTCGCCTGAGTCATACTTACAGGTGTATTCCTCGGAGGTTTGACCCAACCTTTCTCTGTCTCGGCAGGCTCACAATTCACCGCTGATTGTTAAGCCTATTATGTTTTTCTTCGTCGCTGCTTGTGCGCCGGAAAATTACAAAGTGCTAACAAGCTTAGCTCTTTTTCTCGTTTTTTCCCACTCGATCGCGGCACCTTTCGTTTTGAAAGACCAAAGGGGGCCATGTCGCTTCTTTTATTGGATTTCGATGAAAATTCCTTGTGCGGCTTCGCCTCGTTATTAATGGTGAGAGATGGAAATCGCCATCAAATACATTAACCATCCTATATGGATGACGGTGCATGCGCTCGTCGTGGTTTTTATTTTTTCCCTAGTCGACAAGGGCGATTTGTGTTCACCACATTTGTGACACCAGGTCACTTGGGAGACTTCCCATCACGGCTCATTTTATGAATTATTATAGCAGTTTCTCCTAATAAGAAGCAGGGGCACGGAATAACACATTTCTTTTGATTGAACAAAAATTTTCATTATTAGTTCAATAACAAATCTTTATGTTTCCAGACCAATCTTCTTAATGTGTATATAATACTTGCAATTATATGATTGCTTAAATTTTAATAAACGGTGGCAAGGATGCATTTGAGACTATTCTCAAATTTTTATTGTGAAAACTTGGAATAATTTATAAATTGTTTTTTACAACTATATAGGCTGTATAGTTATTGTTGATTGTCAATTAAATCTGCTCTTGGAAAGCCTTTTCCAAAAAAAAAAATTAATAATGCCTCAATCAAGTGGATGAAGGATCAAAGTGATATTTCTACAAAACAAACGTATAATCATCTTCTGTATATGAATCGAACTTCCAGGAAATTTGAAAATGTGGGTAGTTCATTTTGTTGCAATTAATGATAAGATTAACCTTATTGTTTATTACAAATATAAAATTCACCCACTCACATAAAAGGCAAAAAACACTCATGACTATGTATGTTATTGTTTAAAATATTTTAAATAACTGATCATATTTCGACTCCAATTATAAATAGATTTGTTCATATTAAAAACTAAAATAGGTCCCACAAAAATATCAAATTATGTTTTTTATTAAACTGAATAAGGGATTAATAAATTCATGTAAAATAAATATTAAATTTAATAATAAATGTATTTTTAAATATTACTTTTATTGTTAAAAAACGCATACTTAAATAATCTCGTTTATTGTATTACTGTAATTTTATTTTTGGAACATTTATATTTTTTTTTTAAATTATTCCCCTATTCTTTAAAATGGTTGTTATATTAAGAAATAGTGCGACGAAGCAATAATTCGATTGTTCATTCCAGAAAATTCTCTTTGCATGAAGTTTATTTATGTTTTGAATGTTTTTGAGGGTTGAAGTTTTTTCAAGTGCACGTTTTTGTCGCGAGAGATGGAGCAAAGAGTTTGTGCATAAAACGACGGAGCAATTCTCCCGTGCATAAAGTGGTGAAATTCAATATTTGGCTGCGCGCTCTGGCTAGGGGTGGCTGCGGCACTCACTTGGCAGGGTCGCTGTGCAAACCAACAAGAAGACTTCGCACATCGACGCGTGCTCCACAGGCGCTCAATATTGAGAGAAGATGCGGAAAAGAAGCGCTCATGCAGGGGTGGGGCGCGCGTGCGGGGTACGAGGGGCATCTCACCACCCTCACGCCGCCCCATCACTCGCCAGCAGCCTCCTCTCCAAAGTGTATTAATAATTTCGGCGGTGAAGCGAAATATTATTGGAGAACAGATATTTTATATGCCCGCACTCTGCTGGCACGGCTTTTTAAAGGGGAGCTCGAAACATCCCTTGCCTTGCACGCTGAGCACCGCCGGCATTTTTGGCGTCGGATATTGCTTTAAATTATTGATTTTCAAAGCACGGCACCCCGGCCATTTTTCCTTTTCTCTTGGCAAAAACGTGGTTCACCCCTGATGAATACAAATTGGCGTGTCTGCAGCTTTTCCGCTGCTGATTTTGGGTGATTTGAAATTGTTTCTAAAACTGCCAGGCATGAGTTGAAATTTATTTCCCTGTGCTCCGTCCTGATAAATTTCCACCCTCGAAAAAAATGTCACGGAGCAAAATAAATTAAAAAAGTAACAAAAATCATTATCAAAAGTAATAACTTTTTAATGATACTTTAATTATAATTGCAGGGCATGTATGATTTATTTTATATTAAACATATTTAATAATTAACTATTTATTTTTCTTGATTCCAACATGGAATCCAAAGCTCAATACTGCGGAATTTTCAACTTTTCCTCTCATTCTCACAATAAGGCCTTAATTTCTTTCATCTGCGGCCTTTTTCATGCCGCAAAGATGCAGCAGCTTTTCAATCTCGTTGATTATCACATTTCGCGCCGCCTCCTATTTGGCCGAACTCCAAGAAAAAGATCCGTCTGAGGAAAGTTGAACACACACGCGTGTAGCAAAAGAATAAGTAGTGACACCATCTCACTCTTTTTTTCTGCTTCAAGTTAACGCCGCGGAGACTTGGTACGTACATAGCGACATATAAAGGGTCTATCGTGCGCGAACTGTTGAGGTGATAGCAGCACGAGGGTGTTACACCGTCCTATCTGTTGCGAGGGGTGGCGGGGGCTGAAATATTGCGAGGCGGCAGATTCGCTCCTCGGAGAGCTCCATCTTTGCCGCAGCGAATTCCACCGGCAAATGGCGAGTCTTTTTTCCTCCGGCGCTCTATCTTGTGGCCTATATATTTCAGCGGATATCGCCCCGGCGGCTTTTGTGAAAAGTAAAGTGCTGCGTGCAGGCGCTCTTTCTGATGAGGAGTATTTCAGGGCGAAAAACGTGCTGCGGAGAGTGAGTTAAAAGCAGAGATGGGAAAAGTTGCAGTAGCAAAAGTTAATCATATAATCGCACACTCTGCCCAACATTTCTCTTCTTCCTCCCGCGTTCTCTCTCACTCGAAATGTGCTCTGCCGAGTTTATTACTAAAGACCTCCATAATTAGCTCTTTCTGCTGGCTCCCTACTCACAGTCATAGAAAGAGAGAAAGATTCTCCTTTCATTGTTTTGCTTGGTTTCAAGTGGAAAATTTTAAAACATCATAGAATGAATCAATAATTTTCAAATCTCAAAGCAATTTCTTTTTTAAATATACTTTCACTAACAAGGTATGCTATCGAGATGACACACCCCGATTTTGATGAAAATTGGTGTAAAACTTCTCCTACCCATTGGTACCCCAGAACGGCCATTAATTTTTGCCCAATTTTCCTTGTTTTTTTGCCATTTAAACTCCATGTAATTTGAATTACATTGGAGAAATCGGATGTAGGCAAATTATATACACAGAGGACGCTTTTGTTGCCTACATTTGACCGTTTTTAACATGTGTTTTAATGAAAACTACCATCCCTTGTGAAATTGGGCAACTTTTGATAGCCATTCCAGAACACCCAAGGGTAGTGCAAGTTGCATACCAACTTTCAACAAAATCGGCGTGGGTCATCTCAACAGCTTACCTTGTAAGTTCTTAACAATTTGTATGTTGCTGACCCAATTATTAATTCTTATCATTACTTCAACCTTTATTGTGTCAACAATGATAATTATACCTGTATTTCCGCCATTTACAAAACTTGAAGAAATCAACCGAATACAAGCTTATCAAACAGAGGACGCGCCGGGCAAACCAGATTGGCACTCAAAGTGTTCATTTTCATCGAAATAAAATCTGGCTTTTACAGGGGAGATGGGCTTGTAGCATAAAATCAACTCTATAACGCAGACGCAATAAATTTGATCTTTTCCAAAAGGGAGAATTTTAGTTAATCTAAAAATGATTTAAAACAAAGCGAATTAAACAGCAAACGAATTGAATACAAACTTGAATTAATATTATAGTAAAATATGACCATTTGAAAGATGAAAATGAACAGAAAAATAGATTCAATCTCTCTGCTGATATAATTTCCAGGTGAATCGTGCACGATAAATTTTATTTCATTAGAATTCATTGAATTCCAGCGTCCGTGAACGCAACCGCAAACAGCATGCGATATTCCACGAGGCAAAAAAAAAAGAGTATGAAATATAAAATAAGAGGCGATCGCCTCTCACGCGGAACAAACGGCGCTGGAAAATATTACGGCAAAAATTACATTATCCTCGCCGCAATTGCCATAAATTACGTACACACGTTGTGTGTGTGCCCTTCAAGGG